TGCATACTCACATGAACTCAGACATATGGGAACTCATACAAACACACATAGCACATGCACATGAAGATATTGAAAACACAAGTTGAAGAGTTGCACACATCATCTGATCTCATAAGAAAGCATTGTTATGTATCCTGATTCGTACTAAGTTGGACTGCAGGCTCCATACATTACCCTACATTTACGTTATGTCCCATCTACAACAGGTGATTGCCACAGAGCCAAAGGATTAGAAGCAGGTTCTTTACAGGTTCTGGTTAATTCAGACACTTGTTACACAGGTACTGCGGCTAGACACCATGAGAGGCACTGCAGTTACCAAAGTTACCAAATGCTCATTCTATCAGGGAAAATGCTGGTGCAATTAAAAAGCAACATTTTAGCTTATATGTCACAAGACAGACAGAGTAAATGCTCCTCTAGTGGTGCACAGGTAAGTGCTACACACTATTGCCTGCACACTCTCAACCACTGCAACAATTCCTGAGTGGGTAATTTATAGTCATCAGATGTTAGGCTCATGGTTCTAAGGTCAGTAAGTCCAAGTTCAAGGGTCCAAAAGAAAAAAGGAGGGCAAGAGAGGGAAAGGAGCTAGAACTTAGCCTTGAATGAAGAACCCATTGCCACATTAAAGTGATTAACCCACTCATGAAAGCAGAACCTAACATCTCAATGGCTCTCTCAGTACTAGTGCACTGGCAGAGTGGTGGAAGCCTATGGTCCTAGCACTACAGACAGAATTGGAAGTTTCAGGCAGCCTCATTTACACGGTGAGTTCCAGGCCAGCCAGGGAGACCTCATCTCCAAATACCAAAAACCCCCACACTGCTGTACAAAGGACAAACTCTGAACTGGAAGACATACTGTCCAAAACAGTCAACAAGGAACACTAGAACACAAACACTACTTTGTAAGATAAGCAAATGATCTGAGAAAGGAAAGGCAGCCAAGAACCCTATGAGAAACTCCACTGCTGTCAGCACGTGCAAAAGTGGATCTTCTGGGCAGGTGGTGGTGGCGCACTCTTTAATTCAAGCACTCAGAAGGCAGAGGCAGGCAGATCTCTATGAGTTCAAGACCAGCCTGGTCTTCAAAGTGAGTTCCAGGACAGCTAGAGTTGCTATATAGAGAAACCCTGTCCCTAAAAAGGAAAAAAAGGAAGAAAAAGAAAAAGAAAAAAGAAAACCACCAAACAAACAAACAAACAAAAACCTTCCCCATTTCAGCATGTTTGTCTGCTAGCGACACTCTTGCCAGGTGGTTATCTAATTCTTCAGTGTCCAGCATATTATGAACAGAAGGAAGTCTGATAAGGATAACATGATACGTGATGTGCTTACACATGAAGGAACCCCTACTGCTTCTTCGCCATGATCATGTTTCTAGTCATCGATATTTCTCAAACAGGAAACCCAGTCTTTATGTCTCACTGTGGTATACACTTAATTTCACACACTATTTTCTGGGGTGAACACACAGCACATTATTTCTGGGTTTTACAGCACCATATGTCCTCCCAATAAACAAGAAAGCCACGAGTACAAACTCTGTTCCAAAATGTGGTTTCCCACAGAATTCCAGGCAGCTTAAGGAGAGCCATTAAGAAGAATAGCAAAAAGGAAAAAAAAAAAAAAAAAAAAAGATAGGACAACACAGTCTGTGTCTCCCTTAGGAAATGTTTCAAGTGAAATGGGGGATGACCACTACATTGGCCATGTGGGTCACTATGTGATATATAAAATAGCCATCAAGAAAACATGGAAGCCGTCCTTTAAGATGAAATAAGACTGTGTTCATAGTTAACGCTGGCTAAAGTTTCAGAAATTCCTAGAATAGTTTCCTTAAACACACATACACACACACACACACACACACACACACACACACACACACAGAGTGGTTCTAAAGCACTTATATAATTGCAGGTTGTGGGTTTATTGTGAAATCCAAATATAATATTAAGCATTAGCACATAGCCAACAATTATAGAGTATACCACTAACGGAAAACACTTCTCTGAAGACACAAAATTATTAAGGAAACCAGCCTTACACGGAATTCAAAGGAAATCCATCACTGTTCCCTTTCAATCAATATGGGGGGTGGTGTTATGAGTTAAAACAAACCATCACAATACAGTCAACACACGGTATTTCAAAATATAATGCAAGATGAACAAGTAGTTTATCTTTGAAAGCTTTAGGATGCTGTTTGCTTCAAACTCCAGTATTTCTGAAGTCTGCACCATTTGTAATGTGCCTAGCCCTAGAACTCAGCTATTGCTGTGTAAGGAAGCCAGGCCACACTGTGGGTGTTCCAGCCAGCATGCTCTGCCAAAAGCCCTCTCTAACCCTGACAGTCACCCAGTCATGAGCACTAAGTCTGCAGATGATCCCATTGTGGCTGGTTAGTTTTTGTTCACTTGAGTCACAATTGAGGATTTGCTTTCATTGGATTGGCCTGTGGGTGTGTGGATGGGGGAGGGCATTTTAGTAACTGCTGATTAATGCAGGAAGGCTTAGCCCCCTGTAAAAAGTGTCATTCCTGGGCTGTGCACCTGGGCTGTGCACGAAAGGCTGCTGAGCAAATCAGCAATCCCTCCATGGTCTCTGCTTCAATTCCTGCCTCCAGGTTCCTACCTCAACTTCCTGCCTATGCTTCCCCCATGATGGAAATAAAATGTAAGATAAATCCTTTCCTTCCCAAGCTGATTTTGGTTAATGTTTTATTACAGTAACAGAAAGGCAAACTAGGATACAGCGCCTCAACTTTTCATCCACAGGGTAGCAAGCAGACCATCTCACTCCTTGCCACCTACATTCCTGACTAACAGGAGCTGTCTGAAGAAACAAAGATATTGTTTGACAACACTAATCTTTTGGGAAAACTTGTTTATCCCAATAGAGAAGCCAATACAGTAATACAGAGAATGCACATGCTCCAAACTAGAAAACTCACACCCTTACTGAAACCAACTATTCAATAGTCTCCATCTAATAAGGTGAGGTTCCATACAAGTATACACTGTTGCTCTGAACTTACATAATTTGAGGTAATTTAGATCATGATGTGTATCAGTATTAAAATGGTCTGGAAAGATGAATTTAGGTGACCTGTGTAGAATAATACTAACGCTAATTAATAAATTGCTTGGAAGAACTTTCAAAGTATAGCATGCTCCATATAAAAAGGATTCTAGCCACTAAGCAGTAAACAAACACAAGATGATTCAAGATTTCCTAGTCTCTATTCCTGCATTAATTTAAAAACTAAATAAAACAGGGTGATGGTGGCACACACCTTTAATCCCAGCACTTGGGAGGTATAGGTGGGTGGATCTCTGTGAGTTTGAAGCCAGCCTGGTCTACAGTGTGAGTTCCATGACAGCCAGAATTGTAACACAGAGAAACTCTGTCTTGAAAAAACAAAAATAAATACCTCCAAAAAAAAAAAAAAAAAAAAAAAAAAAACCCACTACATTTGGCAAATTGATCAGTTTGGTTGTAATTATGTGTATATAGTCATTTGCTCTCCTTGAGGGCATTCTGCCTCTGGTCATTCTTTTTCCTGCATTTTAATCAAATCCATTCCCCATACTCTTCCCTCCAATTAGCTCCCTATCCCTTCTACCACTTTTTATTTCCAACTTCACTTGTTCATCTTTTAAAACCCACTGAGTCAGAGGCTAGAAAGATGGCTCAGGGGGTAAGAACACTTGCTGTTCTTGCAGAGGACTCAGTGCTAACTCCAGTCCCAAGGAATCCAACTCCCTCTTCTGGCTTTCATGGACAATGTGTGTATGGTGCATATAAAATAATGGTGTTGCCTGCATGTGCATGGATGTAGGACTACATCCCTGGGAAAACTGATTTTCCCTCCTATGTAGCCATTAATTGCCAGTAACTCCTTAGCTAGAAATGAGGATTCACAGGTCCTTCTTCCCCACAGCATGTTGAGATTTTGGCTGGCTTGATCTTGTGCAACAAGTGGCAGCCTCTGTAGGTTCACATGTGTACTATATCTATATTCAGATTATACCTTTTACTGAAACAAAATTTTAAAATATTTATTTATAAGGTTTTGCTGTCTTTGAAATTAAGTGCTTCACTCAGCAATTAAGTGTCTTTTCCACACACATATACATTTAAACACTACCATACATATCACTGCCTGTGGATAAAGGCTCAGCAATCAGTTCTCCAAGGCAAAGCAGACTCAGGCATCTTCCCAGTGTTTCCAGGTTCTTTCCACCATCAGAGAACAAATTTAAGACAAGACAAATAAGAACTGAGGAAAAGCTTTATTATAGTACAAAAGGACACACCCAAAGGTGAGTAAAGGCTCCTGAGAGAGATGGGTAGCATGGGATTTAAGACACTGTATTACAGGCGAATTTTGAGGGGGAAATTAGTCATAAGCTAAGGCATACTACAGAATTCCAGGAATGGATCAAGATTTCCCCTGAAATCTCTCTGCTTTTATCCCTAAGTAGAGTTTCTGAATGTGTCCTTGTACCAGGTGGACAACAGAAACAGATTATTTTTAAGGCTAATGATAGAGAAATGCCCTTATCATGAATTAAAGGACCAGTAGCCAGTTTGGGGTAGTCTCGTGTCTGTACTGTTTGAGAGGTCACATGATGCCCTCTGGAACACAGCTCTGCCAACCTCAGTTAAGATCTTCATAATTTCTCTAGTTTCAGTCTGAAAATAAAACTGACAGCCAGAAGCCCACACTCTCTGGTTACACCCTGGTCAAGCCATGTTAGATGCAGATCTACTGCCTACATGAAACAAAAACAATAAGTTTTCTAAAACTTGCCTCTTGAAATCTTTATTTTATTTATAGGTAAATGTTTTACCTGTGGAGGCTGGAGTGGGCACGTGGGTGTAGGAACTGAACTCTAGCCCCAGTGATACTCTTTTTAAACTTACCTCTTAAAAAAGTAGACAAAAGATTACACAGTAATGTTTTGCTAAAATCACTGGACACACTCATGATAAAATGTGTAAGGAGTTTATTATATCAGCTGTCTTCTAAAATTAAACTGACATTTTAATAATTTAATCAAAACAAAACTGCAGTCTTTCAGTACTACAAACTGAATTAAAACAGCACAGCTACTCACACTGAGAAATACATTCTGTTGTGTAATCATTTAATTATACTGAGAAATAATTATAAAAATAGGTAAAAATTTCATGAAAATATTCCTTTTATTGTATCTTAGGAATTCTTGCTCATGTCAATAGACTGTCTAACATCTGCCACTGCCTCAGGCACACGAACAGTCATATTGTCCATAGCTTTGGTCAGACAGACTTGGCAGCCCAATCGCGACCTGCAAGGAAAGGAGGCTCGGTTTAGTATTGGGTACATGGCATTCACAAGCATGCAGTTGTTTAGAATATTTTTATACTTTCTTGCCCAAAACAGCTAGAGAATTTGCTAATCTTTTAAATTTACATTAGGCCAAAGCAGACACCACCATCCACGACAAGAAGAGGGCAGTAGAAGGTCAGCACTAAACAACCATGGTGGCAAGCACCTGTAATCCCAGCACTTAGAAGATGGAGGCAGGTCAGTTCACAACCATCCTGAGCTACACAGAAGTAAAGAGATGATGCTAGGATATAAGATCCTGCCAGAAAGTAACAACAAAAGCCTTTAAGACAAGACTCACAGACTCAAACCATCAGTTGTAAGAATGTATTTCCCTCATGTTTTTAACATCTCTGAAATCAAGGTCCATCTTAAGGCCAATGGCATGTTACAGTCACTGCTACAGTGAAGTGCCTGCTGTGTCATGGCTGTGAGATAGGCTACAATATACACACCAGTGTCACCAACTGAATAAAAGAAGTATTTTGATTCCAAAGGTGTTAATAAGTCCAAAAGGATTATAGACCTAAAATTACCAGCACTAGAGGAACTAGTAGAAGCAAATCTGCATGTTAAAGGAAGACAGACCACCACTCCATTTTCTTCTCTTTCTTTCACAAAATTACACCAATCACGCTTTCCTTAGATGCCTTGATTTCAACAAATGTGTTTCATATGTACGGATATGTTTAAACATCTTCTCTAAATACATACAGTACATTAAATGAAACTATACTACAGTACATATTTTAATAAACAGCATTTTTCTTTTCTCTTAGAAGTACACAAGTTACAAGTTAAGCCAGGATTGGTGGCACATGCCTGTCATCTCTGCTATTTAGGAGGCTAAGACAAAAGGATTTCAAACTGAGGGCCAGCCTGGGCTGAAGAGTAAGAATTCCAGCTTGGATTTAACTTTAATTCAGTCTCAAAATTAATAAAGTAAATAAAGGACTGGGATATAGCTCAGTGTTAAGTACTTTCCTAGCATGTGCAAAGTCCTGGGTTCATTTCCCAATACGGGAAAGAAAAAAAAAAAAAAAAGGAAGGAAGGAAGGAACGAAAAACAAAAAAGTTAATCTTACAATCAAACTGTCTTTGGCAAAACATGTTTTGAAGGCATTGGCTTCATTAACGGATTCAATAAACATTTACTGAATGTATAATGGTAAAATTTTTCTACCACTAAATGCCAATGGTATAGTACTAAATGTCAACTGGTGTACTACTAAATGTCAATGGGAACACTATTATATGTTAATGGGTATACACAGAGTACTTTCTTATTAATACCTGTTACATGTTGGGCACATGAGTGGTAGTCAGAGGAAACCACAGGATTTAGAGAAAACTGGCCAGCAGTCCAAAATCAGCAGTAACAGTGTATTCACGGGCAACTTTCCATTATTTCCTAACCTGATCATCAAGATGGAGAATAAAAGGCTTCTTCACAGGACTGCTGAAGAGACTAATTGCTAATGTCAACAGTATGGAGTGAACTTTCAATCAGACAGATGAGATGAGACAACTCACTGATTATTAGCATGTGAGACTATGGCAAATGCCATACAAACAGAAAAAAATGAAACCCCTCTGAGAAAGCCATACTTGCAGCCAAGACAGATGGTAGGTAAGATTTCCCACTTAGTGAGAGACAGGAACTTGAGAAGAGCATCTCAGGTAAAGGAGGTGCTTCAGATTTGCTGCTGTGAAGCACTAACAAGGACAAGCAATGGGCTGGGTGTGTCTCAGTGACAGAGCACCTGCCTAATGTGTAAAGTCCCCAATCCAATCACAACACCCTCCTCTGAGAAAAAAAGAAGAGAGAAAAGAAATTACATGGAAAACTATAGTTTTAAAAGTAGTCAGGGCAACACACTTAAATTTAGATATAGTGAGGCACCACTGGGGAATCCTAGAATAATGAAGCCAGTTTAACCACAGGGAATGTTGATGGTTTGGAAAAAAATAAAAACTACCTCCCATCAGTTGTCTTTCTTTGTAGAATTAGAAACAGCCTTGACAATATACACTATGCTCTATCTGCAAAAGCAAAACCCATGGCAATGCAATACATATTTTATAGGACTCCACATGTTCATGTATGATGACTAAGACAATGCTACTCTTTAAGGAACTATTAATTTAGAAAGTAAATCAACTGTCAGTGAGGCAAAGCAGAATACTAGGCCAGTGAAGACAAAACAAGCACACCATGGGTCAGAGAACATCCATGGGTCAGGGCAGCAGCCACAGCAAGCTTAGATATAAAAGGTATGATGCTCTCAGTCTTTCTTCCCAGGATGTTATATTAGTCTCATCTCCATGAGAGGGAGGTAGAAGGCAGGGACATAGCTGACTGACAGACAGGGTGCTCTGTCTGGCATGGGCAAGGCCCTAACACCCAAAACCAAACAGAATATAGGGACAGATGAATTATAAAAGGAACAACTGAAATTAATAAAACTATTATCACTATAACTGCTTAAATTTTATTCTTACCATATAAAACCTAGATCATGTAAGCTAATAAAGTTTTTAAGAAGTTATCCTTCATTGAGGTAGCAAAATACAGTTAAACAAAACCCAGTAAGCAATAAGCCTCCTTAATTATGCCTTGAAACAGTAAATCATGATGAAGGCTTCCTGACTCTAAGACTGGATAATTAAAAATAGTATCACTAATGCCACCTGCTACTTGAAGCTCACCATGTTTAAGAGAAACTCTACCTACTAATTAATAATCTCTGATTAATTTACTCTAATATACACTTTGAAAAAGAACTACTCACCTTAACATAATTACTATTATATATTAAGTTTCTTTGAAAACTCAGTTCTCTAAGACAGGTAAAAATTTCCACCATAATTTTGTTCAATTATCAAATCTGTCCTTCAAGAACAGCATTCCATTTAATTCCATCCTATGATAGTGTATAAATACTAATTCCTGGCATAAAAATAGACTAAAGAAGACATATTAGGATTTAGAAATTATATCACTAGTAATTAATTCTTTGACTTTTGTGAAAGGGAACTTTCATGGGGACCAACTGTGAACAGCGAAAGAGAAATGCTCCCAAAGGATGTTCAAATTTCATGACTTCTGTCTACAAGGACACTTCTACTCATGGCTTCGATGGACCCAACAGAATATAATGCAGATATTTCCAGGCTGTCAGTAACAGTGAAGCAGCCTTAAAGTCTTACCTGACAGGTCAGGCATTCTGCCTTATGCCTGTAATCTCAGCACACACAAGTGTGAGACCACCCTGACCAACAGTTAAAATCTTAGCCTTCAAACAAAACTAACCAACAAAATATACTCACCTGTCTGTTAGTCCATAAGCCAGGTCAAGCATATCATTCTCCTCATCAGTGATGGCATCTAACTTCTCATATATATGATCCTCAAAGATAAGGTGACAGGTAGAGCAAGCCAAAGTTCCTTCACAAGCACCTGTAAGAGCAGCAGAGGCTCAACATGCTGTGCATCGCAGCAGTGCACACCTGGCTGCTCTGAAATGCTTCTGTTAGAATTGGCTGTAATACTAAAGGAAGGGTTTCATTACTGAATAACCACAAGTCAGGAACAGGACCCCTTAACCCCACACACTTTCTGAAGTCACTCACACAGTACTTCACAAATAGGTAATGTGAGGGGGCCATGAAGGCCATACAATTCTAATATTAAAATGTATCAATAACTGAGGCAAACACACAAAGATGTATTCTTAAATATATATAGCAATGATGTATATAATCGTATGCACATAATTTACCTCACCTAGAGAGACTCAAAACAATTGACAATAATTTGTGTTAGCCAAGAGAAAGAAACCCTACACCTAAATAACTAGTCTTCCTTCTCAATTCTCTAAGTAATCAGACCTAACAAGCAAAACCTTTTAAGACTTACCACAGATTTAAATAATGTAATTATTTCTTTTATTCCATTTTAAAATTATATATTTATTCAATATATGTGTGTTGTATATGTATGTGCACATGTCTCAATGATCAAACTCTGGTCACCAGATGTGGTGTCAAGTGCCTTTACTTGATGAGCCATCTTGCTGGCTCCTTATTCCACTTTTAAACTGTTAATATAACAGTTATTTACTCAGCTCCTCTTATGTGCCAGGCACCACATAAAGTAAACTAACAAAATCATGTCATCTAAACAAATCAAGACAAACTCTATGAAACTGCCTCAGACTTCATTTGGAAATCTCTTCACAAAGAAACCTAACTATATAAACCAAGGTTTCCTTAACTTTTCTACTCATGACCCATTTTCAAGTTAGAAATTTCTAAGTGACCACAGGTATATAGGCAAATAAAACAGGTCCATAAACACACAAAAATAATAAATCATAAACAAACTTTTAGAGCAACTACTTGATTACACACACACACACACACACACACAATCTCCCAGAAGTGCACTAGCCAGATAGCCTTGAGTATATATACAACACAGCATCAGAAACAGAAACAAGGAGATCTGTCTCAATAAGGTAGATGAGAAACAGCTTCATGCCTTGCACCAGAACTAGAAGGAGAGAGAGGGAAAGTAGGAGAGAGAGAGCGCACGCACCCTAGTTTTGTTTTTTTAAGGTCATTTAAAAGCATTGATAGCCTCAGAAGGATCCAAGTAATGAGGCACAAGTTTGGGATATGAGTTCTGGAACCAGATTCCCTGCCTTTAACCACCTCTTCTGCTTACTATGTCATGTAGGCTTCTTCACTCTCTGTGCTTCAGTTATTGTAGTAGTAACTATACTAACCTCACCTGGAAGTTACAGGAATCATGAGTATAAATAAATACATATTGGCAACACATCTGGCAGGTTGTGATAACTACCATTTGGAAATAGTGAGAAATCTCAGGCTGCTGGGGGCCGGTAAGTGCTATCAATGACCTCACCCGGCACTAGACCCTGCATGCTACAATACTAACCAGACTGGTAGCATGTGCACATTGGTACAATACTGGCATGACTGCCATGTCATGGGTAAACCAACTTTCCAATTGGATTTTATCTGGCCTCACAGAAGGGACTCCTTGGCTGGCACTGTAAATCTGGTTGAAACCACAGGCCCTAGGAATTTACTGTTGTTGTTTTGCTTATTGATTAAGCTATCAAACTGCCTTCTAAATATTGATGTTTAGAACCTCTGATTTGCATTGTCCTACTCTGGTGGGACAAACTTGGTTTTACTTATTTGTTTTTGTTGTTGTTTTGTTTTGTTTTTGAGTCAGGGTTTCTCTGTGTAGCCCTGGCTGTCCTGGTACTCACTCTGTAGACAGGCTGGTGTCAAACTCAGAGAGATCTGCCTGCCTCTGCCTCCTGAGTGCTGGGTTTAAAGGCGAGCGCCATCACCACCACCCGGCAAAGCTTGTTTTTACAATGGGCAGTGAGTGATTAATGCAGAGGGCTCATAACTGGTTAAAATGCCAATATAAATGATCATAAGGTTCAGGGAACATTATGGAAGGGAGGCAGAAAGAACTCTAAGTATTGGTTGAGGAAGAGGGGAGCTATGAACTGCTGGCATCTGGACATAACATAGCTACTGCACACATCAACTCACAGCAGCTGTGATGACCTGCACAAAATTGCAACAGTCAAAATTCTAGCATGGATGGAGGAGGGGCCTCTAAGACCCTGCCCTTGGCAGAAGAACTACTGGAAGTTGATAGTTGCTGAGGGAGAGAGATCCATGCTCTTTTGAGGACATGACACTAGTAGGTTGTCCATACCCCAATGGATAGCCCTATACCCATCACATATTAGCAGCACTAATTGATCTCAGGGGGTTATTAATAGCCAAAAGGAGGACATGAAGTTAAGCGGAATACAGTGTAGGGGACACTAAAGGAAGTTAAAGAGATGTAGGAACGAACAGAGGTAATAAAAGCACAGTTATAATTATATGAAATTTCCTCTTTCCATTTATGAAATCTGAATGCTGCTAACAGGAAGTTGTCTACATGTGAGTCTTGTATTAGGGTCATTCTGTTCACTAATGATGCTGACAAGAAAGGTGGATCACCCACACACCTAACCCCTTCCCTAAATGAAACCTAGAATATAGCTGTGTGGTAAGTTACACATTGAGAATGTGAAATTATTGTCCAAAAAAAATGATGTAGCATACCAGAAAAACAACAGTAAGCATAAGGAAGCAGAAATATAGTCTTCTATAAACATTCCCGGGACCTCTTATCATAAAACAGGCATATGAAAACTACAGAAGGAAAAAAGTTTCAAATAATTTTAATCACAGATGTGTAACTGCCCCCAAGTGGCAGAACACTGCAACACACAATACTGAAAAGATTATTAACATAAAAATAATGTGTTGCTTCCCAAGTTAGTAACTGTCCATTTTGATACATTTATTTACTCATCCCTTCATACACAATAATGAATGAATTAAGAATGTCCGTATTCCTTATCGGGAGTTAAATGGAAGAAGGACACAGGAGTTAATCAATGTATTTACCAAAATGTGGTAAATGCTATGAAAGGATGATCTGAGGCAAGATGGTGAGACAGACTAGACGATGACTAACTACTGCAGACTACAAGCAATGCGAGTTTATAATGGATTGGGAGTAACAAGAGAAACCCCACTAGGTCCTGGGTGGTTGGGCAAAGGAGGATTTCTTTTGTTACCTGAACCCAATACCCTACATCCCAGAATCCAGTCACTTCTTCCACAGCATTTGTCATCATCTGCTATGTATTTTCCCTACATGACATAAGGAACTAATACAAAAAGATTTAATAGATACAGAATAGTAAATAAACATTTATGGGATGGGAGAGAGAAGACACTGTCCCAGCAGAGGTAAAAGTGCACAGGAAGTCTCAAAGGTGTGACTTTAGTGTGAATTCAAGCTTCTAAGAGGTCAGCATCGCCAAAATAGGAAGAAGAAAAAGGAGACATGGAGAAGACTGGAAGAGCAGTGGGAGGAATATCATGTGTAGTAGCCTTTTAGGCCAATGAGGAATCCGGATTTAGTCCTAAGTCCTCAGTGGTTTTAATCAGAGATCAGCCATTGCTGATTTTTGTCCTGGCAATCACCCCAGCTGCAGGGCTAGATCAGAAGCAGGTTCACAGGAGCAGGTGTGCAATGGCTTACCAAAGCCAAGTAATAAATATAAGGATGGAGCCAAGAGGAGCTACTAGAGGGTTAAGTGAGAGTAGGTGCTGATGTGCTGGGTGTACAGGAAAACAAATGCTGCTTGGGTTTCAGGCTGCAGTAGCTGGGCACAGGAAATTGCTGACACAGGAAATGCTAGGGGAAAGACTGCATTAGGAGAAGGGTGGGATCAAAAGCTGTTTAGAAACATGATTTTTAGCAGCCACACAGCTCAGTGGGTAAGGGCAATTGTTGCCAAATCTGGTTGATGACCTGAGTTTATGCTCATAATGCATATGGTAGAAAAGGAGAACTAACTCCGGCAACCTGTCCTTAGCTCTCCACACATGTATTATAGCATGTGTAGTCCTACACTCACACACAAATATTATACACATGTGGTAGAGGGGATAAATAAATGTTTAAAAAATCAAATGTTTGGTTATAAATACATTTGGGATTTCCAAAAGAAATGTAAAATAGGGAACTGAATCTGCAAGTTTAAGCTCAGAGGAGAAAACTAAGCCAAGGATGTGAATGTAATCTCTACCAGCATTTAGGACGGACTTAAAGCCACAGAAAGGAAGAGATCACATGGGCAGACACTGCAGAAGCTCAGATATTTGAACACATGGATCCTATTAGGTGGCACTGTTTGGGCGGGGTGGGGGGATGTACGGGGGGGGGGGGGGCAGGGATAGGGAAGGTGTCATGGAACCTCTTCAGGAGGTACAGCCTTGCTGGAAAAAGCATGTCACTGGGTCATGCTTTTAGAGTTTGTAGCCTCCCCCAGTTCCAGTTCACTCCCTCTCTTCACATCTGTGGTTGAAGATGTAATCTCTGAGCTGCCTGCTATGGCCACCTGCAGCCATGTCTCCTTCTCTATTATGAACATCCCACGTGCACCTGTAGTAAACCAAGTTAAACTCCTTCCCTAAGTCATTTTCGGTCAAGGGTGTTTTTATCACAACAGAAAAGATCCTGATACACTTGGATTAAATCATTTTTTCTTTATAGAAACCTTATGGGGTATATACTAATATTAGCCCCCTTCTACGGATGAGAAGACAAGATAAGAAGTTAGGGCCCTAGCCCAAAGTCACAATATTGTGAGAGTGGTTGAATGGACAGACAAGCATAGGCAGGAAAAACTCTACTCAACCACACCAAAAAGGGTTTAGAGGGAAAATACTGTTTCAACCTTGACATACAGTATGAATTTAATTTTACACACTTTATAAAATAGGTAAGTATTTCACAGCAAAACCCCTGCAAAAGAAGTTGTGTTTTTCTATGTTCTATTACTTTTTATTTCTCTAAGATACTAATTAGAATCCAATACACCAGAGCTGGGAGTGTATCTCAGTTGGTAGGGTACTTGTCTAGCATACATGACACCTTAGTTTCAATCATGACAGAAACCAGGCATGGTGGCTCATGTATTCCCAGCACACACAGATGGAAAACATTCAAGGCCAGCCTCTGATACATCCTCTCAAGGCCATCCCAAGATAAGGTTGGTCAGGCACTTTATCACAGCAACAGAATAGTAACATACAGTAGAGGGACTTTTGCAACAAAAACAAAAACTTCCTTCTGGGGCTGGATGGTGGTGGTACACACCTTTAATCCCAGTGCTTGGGAGGCAGAGGCAGATCTCCATGAGTTCAAGATCAGTCTGGTCTACAAGAGCTAGTTACAGGAGATGCTCCAAAAGCTACACAGAGAAACCCTGTCTCAAAAAAACAACAAAACAAAAACAAAACAACATTCCTTCTGATGTTTAATTCTTAAAACTCTTGTTGAATTGTCTTAAACAACATAGTCTTGCAGTCTATGACTACATATCTGTTCTCTGTAGACATGCAGCTGTTTTGTGTTAGAAACATCTCTGTAGTAAATTGCCTAGGACAACTGTCTCTTCGTGAAAGTGAATCTGCAGAGAAAATGGCATAAATAGCTTCACTCAGTTATAGCTTTCACCAAAGTGTTCTCAAGGGCTAGAAAAACACAATGAAAAACACAATTTCTTTTGCATGCTCTCAGAGTACTAACAGTCTCTACACATACAGATGTGTTGGTTGACGACATGACAAAGAACATGACTTAACATTTTGGTTAGTTCTAGGACAGCCAGGCCCACACAGAAAAACCCTTTTTCAAAACACAAACAAACAAAATTGTCTAATAAATCTAACATCTTGGTTTCTGTAGTGAGATATTCACTTTGTCCGCATCTGTGGCACTGACTATGCCCATTGTGGGTAGAGATGGGGTCGAAGTGACCTGGGTGAGGAACTAGGTCTGAGAAAGAGCCCAGGATCGCTCTCTTGCTGGCGAGACATGGACAAGAGAGGATCGGGAGGCATCCTTGGGACCAGGAACCTGATGGTGTTCATCTGTCTATTTTGTAAGTTATTTCTCCCTGAATAAACATCTATTCGGCCTATTTGTTTATGCTGATCCTTATTAAACCACGATAGGTTTCCTTGTAAGGCCCATACCTTGCTCTTCGTGTATGATGAATTTCTTTTTCTAATGCACTTGCAGACACCACAGTGCAGAAACTGGGAATAAGCTCACCCCACCCCAGATGTGCTACAGTCACTGCACATTGGTAGTCATTGCTGCTATGTTACCTAGTCACTCTTCTAGACAAAAGTTTACATTCCTCAGGGTGTGACTCCCAGCTTAGTGGCCAGAGGTTTAAATGTCTGGTGCCAAGAGGCTTTCCATGTTCTACCAGGAAACTCAGGTGACTAGGCAAATACTTCAACAACTGAGCAATCTGCATGTTAGTCTTCATTCTTGCTTATAAGAGCCCTCACCGTTAGCCAGAGATGAGAGAGTAGAGTCTGTGTCTTCTTGATCCCCAGAGCCTCTTAAAGCCTTCTATGGGCATCTTGCTCTGTGAATATTCCTTTCAATGTGTAGCTAGGCTCTCCCTTACCCCAACTGGCATCACAAACTGAAAAAGTTGATCATTTTTGGTGAATGCTCTATAGACAAAAATCACATCACACAGCAATCTGCAAGGAGGATCAAGGAACTCTCTGGACTAGAACTCTTCTAGGAAACTACAAGCAACAATAACAATGACAATATTCTGAGAATTAGAACTTCTTAGGAGAAACTTGAACCCAGTTTGCCTTCTAGAAATCACACAGGGGATAGTTTTCACCAGGGCTGCCACTTCCCAAGAATGCTGCATATTGGGTGTGTGTGTTGGGGGTGGGGGTGGGAGGTAGGAATTCTAGGAAAATGAGAATTGACCAAGCTAAACAGCCACAACACTACTGCTCTTGCCAAATTGTGCATCTTGATCAAACCAGCAAGAGCCCCGAAGCAAAATAGTCAGGCTGTATTACAGACAAAGGCATATTTTGAAATATATTTTTATTTTATTTTTTTATTTATGTGAATCTTTTACTTGTGTGTGAGCCCCAAAATCTGCATTTCTCAGGTGACAAAGATGGCAAAGAGACAAAGAACCCTCAGAAAAGAACCATTTAGACAGTCAGTGCTTCCCCAAGGTGTGATATGAAGGTTTGGAAACAGCAGCTTTGTACATGTGGTTAGACAATATGGTCAGAAGTAAAGAAAGAAAACTTTCCACACAACTTTCTTTTCGAGAATAAGTTATCCACCCTGAGAAGGTAGGATGGCGTTTAAAATTAAACCGAAGCTATTAAACTGCTCTGTGCTACAGTACGCACTACCTCTGACCCGTATCTCCCACACTCACTGACCTACAGCACAGGTGATCAGTTGGCAAGGGGCCACAATCAATTTCTGAGCCACAGGGCTATTTAAATTCTATTCTAAAAGCAAAAAAGAGTGTCATGCTGTTATTCATTTTGAAGAGTTTTTTTTTTAAATGTTTTTGTGAGTATGTTTCTGCCTGAGTGTACACCATGTGTTCAGTGTTAGAAAAAACAGAAGAGGGTGTAGAATCCCCTGGAGTCCCAATTCCAGGCAATTATGAGCCAACTGACTGAGGTGCTGGCAACAGAACTCAGATCCTCTGGAAGAGCAGTATGTCAGTAATTGGTTTTAACCGCTGAGCCATCTCTCTAGACCCTACTCTAATAATCTTTGCAAATAAAAAAAATTTTAACATTCCCTAAATTATAATACTTACTTAGAATGTTATAGTTTAAAAGGTAAAACAAACAAAAATCCCTATAACCTATTCAGAAGTTTACCTTGGCAGTTTCAGGAACACTTACCAAAACCATCAATATCTAGATTATTTTCAATCACAACATCCAGCAGAGAGTCACCGACTTTTCCCTTGGTTGTTAGTGTCTCACCATCACGGTTCTTGAAATGAACTGTTATCTTATCTTCTGAGCTAAGAAAGGAAGCAGCATTTCAAAATTTTTAGTAACGTCAAAATATAAGTTAAATGCCAGGGAGATAGTTCATCAGATAAAGGCTCTTGCCGTGAGAGCTTGGCCATCTGAGTTGGATTCCTGTAACTCATTCCAAGGTTATCTGACCTCTACATATGTGTCATAGGTGCCCACAACACATCATCAACATAACTCACACAAGAATAACAAATAAAAAAAATTAAATCTTAACCTGCAAGATCAAATGAATAAACTCACATGCAGGAAGAGACAGCACAAACCCAGGGTACATCCTTCTACTCCACCTACAGAGGGCAAGCTCTATCACCTTAAAAAGAATTGAAAACTACTTCCTGACCCAGCATCTGGTGGGTTGTAGAGTTTTGTCTCCCTACCTGTCACAGATCTGTAAATCACTCAGCAATGATTACCACCCAGGAAATCTACTGGGTTTTATGGTAGTGGTAACAGTGATTCTGGTTTGATTTTCATGCTGGGAATTAAATTCAGACCCTAACACATGCTAAGCACATATTTGACCACTGAGCTACACCATCAATTCATGAAACCTATTTTGCTTTTGCAACCTCATAGAAAAACAAGGTCTCTGTGACCATGGCCCTAAAAGACAAGGTTATTTGTGGTCAGCTTCAGAAAAGTAAATCATTCTGCTAGCCACAGGGTCACTACTGTGCAAGTGTCTGGTTGTGAGACTCTGACCCGGGGGGCAGCTATTTTACTTTTGAACATTTCATTTTAGTCCACATGGTATATTCCAAACTAACAGAATACTGGAAAGATGCATACCACTGCATGTGTTTTTAATGTTATCTATCATCTAGTAAATCTAAATTGCTTTCCTTCTACCAAACACTATTTAAAATGTGGGGGAAACATTATACTAACACCTGGAGCTTTCTCCTCCACTCCCAGCACTTTAATTAGTTGTAATTTTTAGCCATTATCAATAGATGGCAATAGCTACTCACCCCTAAAGGCCAACTTCCCTAGAGTAAAATCAAGTAATTACAGGGCTAGAAATATCTTTCAGAAGTACAAATCCAATCATCGCAATTCACAAATAAGGCAGATGAACTGCCTCCAGGGGATGATATGGCATTTGATAAAAGAATCCTGCTGATAAAAAAGGCCCAACTTTAAAATATCAGTGAAAACTTTCTTTGCTTGTATAATGATTATACACTAATATTTTTTAAAAGAAAGAAACAACATAAAATTTTGTGTATGTGCCTTCAAAAAAAAGGCCTATGTTCTCAAACTTTTTTTTTAATTGGGGGTGGGAGAAGCCTTTAAAAACACATATTTTTACTTGCCTGGCACCCCTAGCATGTGTCAAGTCTAGCACTGTCAAAAGACAAAACAGGAGATTTATTTATTTATTTATTTATTTATTTATTTATTTAATTTTTTTGCATGGCTTCAGAGACAGAGTCTGAGCAATGTTCTTCAATGTCTCAGTCCCAACCTACGCTCTGTAAAACAAGTATCCTCACACTGGGGGGATTGCAACTCTAAACTACTCAACAGCTACGCTCTTTTCTCAAGGTAAACCAGCTGAAAATGACGACAGCCCTCAAAGCTAGGAGAGTCTCTAAAAACACAAATTAAAAGATAGAGGAGGCCATGACTTACGCCAGCTGGACTCCATAGTAAAATGGAAAGTTTAGGAATTCACTTATATATTATTTGGTGTTTTGGGTTTTGTTTGTTTGGTTGGTTGGTTGGTTTTTCCAGACAGGATGTATCTGTATTGCTTTGAAGTCTGTCCTGGACTAGCTCTGTAGACCAGGCAGGCCTAGAATTCACAGAAATCCTCCTGCCTCTGCCTCGCTAGTACTGGGACTAAAGGCATACTCCACCAACACCCAGCTTACTTATATATTATTAAGACGTGTGTCTGATAGCTAGGAAACCAGCATAGGACAGACCCAGACACCATGAATGTGGTTGCTAGTTAGGAGAACTGGGCAGTCTATAGGGCCTCTAGTAATGGATCAGTATTTATCCCTAGTGTATGAATGAATGGACTTTGGGAGCCTATCCCACATAGCCTAGACAAATTGGGGAGGGCCTAGGCCCTGCCCCAAATGATATGACAAGACTTTGAAGACTCCCCATGGAAGGCCTCACCCTCCCTGGGGAGCAGAAAGGGGATGGGATGGGCTTTGGTGGGGGTGATAGGGGAGGATGGGAGGATGAGGGAACTGGGATTGACATGTAAAACAACTTTGTTTCAAATTTAAAAAAAGGAAAAAAAAGACGTGTGTGCATCACACACACACACACACAAACACACACGGTAGAGAGGTTGACATTTTCAGCTTGGGCAATTGGGTTTAAGTTAGGATTACCAAGATTAAGAGAAAGAGCTTTGTGGAAACTGAAAATGAGCTCACATTTGGAACTTGTTTGGCTTTTAATACTTGGAAAACCAGATGGGATGGTCCCCAAGCCATATGGTAATATGAATCAGAGAGATGCAACAGGAACAAATGACTGGAAGGTAAGCCACAGTAAATGGGGATTATGGAATTATTCAAAACCAGGGGCTTTAGGACTGCCATTCTAGAGCACACAAGTGCTAAACTTATAACAAAGGAATTTCAAATCACAGTAGTATCAGCCTTTTGTCAAGACATTTATCTACAGTTTGACAATATTCAAAATGCCTAAGCCATGGAAAAACTCAAACACAGATCAATAACTTTTATTTAAAACCCCCAAAATTTCTTTCTACTACTAGGAACCTGGACTGCTAACAAGTACAAGAGCAGCGGTTCACAACCGGTGGGTCTCCACCCATTTGGGTGTCCAATGACTCACAGGAGTCATACATCAGACATCCTACGTATCAGATATTTCATTACAATTCATAACAATAGCAGAATTACAGTTATGAAGTGGCAGTGAAAATAATTTTATGGTTGGGGTCACCACAACAGGAGGAACTGTATTAAAGGGTAGCAGCATTACCAAGGTGGAGGACCACTGTACTAAAGGTATGGAGCCCCAGTCAACAAATGCTAAGATCAGTAATGGATTCAATAAATGAAAAGGAAGGAAGCACAAATGAGAAAGGTAATTCTTCAAGAGAAATAGCGGAGAACCTAAGCGAGAAGACACAGCTTTTGCTCTTGCTCATAACACACACTTTGAAGGAAGTGACCATGAAAACCACTCCTATATACAAGTAGCATTAAAATACCATTTTGTTTGTTTGTTTTACCAAACCCTTCTTATCCTGGGCTAACTTCCAATGCTCCATGTAGCTAAGGATGGCCTTGAGCTTCTGACCCTCCTGCTCCACCACCCCCCCCCAGTGCTGGGGTATGTCACCCCTCACTTTAAGTGGTGCTAGGGATCAAACAAGGCTTCTTCACATTCTGCACAAGCACTCTACTAAGTGAGCTATATCTTTAGCCCAGGATTAAACTGTTTTTAAGTTAACAAGTTAAACAGTTAAAATAGGGAAAGTTTATGGAAATACTTTATGCACATGTACTTGCCCAGAGTTCACCCTCACTGACTGGTCTCTCAATTGTACAGACCACCCCAACACCTCCTTCTAAGAAATAGGTAAGATTTCAAGTAGCAGAATAAATGTTAATTCTTCTAAACCTTCATCACCAAATAAAGAGATACTTGCTTTGCTCAATCAACCCCAGCAGACACATCATCAGGCTTAATGGAGTAAAACAGTGGTTCTCAACCTTCCTAATGCTGTGACCCTTCATGTTGTGGTGAACCCAATCACAAAATTATTTTCATTGATACTTCATAACTGTAATTTTGTACTGTTATGATTGTAATGTAAATACTTGTGTTTTCCAATGGTCTTGGGTGACCCCTGTGAAAGGGTATTTAGAATCCCCCCCCCAAAAAAAGGGTCGATACCCACAGGCTGATAGCCACTAGAGTAAAGTATGGCTGCTCTTACTCTTTCGTCACATAACCTGGGACACTGGCACAGAAGAGGGCCAGCCTATGGCTCCCTCCTTCCTACAGTACCTTTGCTCTCTGAAATGACTCATGAAAGAATGAACTAAAGAGCTACCAGCTGTAGCACTGCAGTACCTCACACACCTAACAAGAAAGTGGGCCCTGATTACAACCACAACATTGCAAGAAGACTGTCACCTGTTATGTGGCACAAAACCTACTCAAGGTCTAGGCCTGGTTTTGCCAGCTAGATAATACTAAAACTTTATGTCCACTCACCTACCTATCTACTTCACAGGATTGTCTTAAAAGCACAGTGAAATAATATATGTTGAAGCCCTTTGTAATCAAGTTACTGTAAAATATCAAGTATTACATCACAGTATTTGGGAATACAAGCTTTTCAATAGTCACTTATTGAGAGCTTATGTAGATGTGCAACTTGAAACTCAGCTTCTAGAATTGCTGTCCAATAGGACTTTGGACTTAACAGCAATGTCCTATACTGGCAATGCCAAACACGGTAGGCACCACATGTTAAATACCTGAAATGTGTGTCTAGCATAACTGCAAGACAGAACTGAAAATATTATTTAGCTTCAATTTTCTTAATGTTCAATAACTACATATGACTGGGAGCTGCTGTGTTAACAGCAAGAGTCTGGCATAATAAGAGCTGGAAAATCTACTTGATGCTCCAATGTCTGTGTCAAGAATCACAATATCTAAAACCTAATGACAAAATCGTGGGAACCAATTTGCAAAACCATTTATGTTCCCTTATATACTAGTTACACTGATTAGGTTTAATATAGGTTATAACTTAAATCCAGAAAGCATCTGCCATACAAATTAAGGCTTTCCCAGATGAATAGTCAGAGGAACCAGGGGAAATAGGACCAAATGGCCCCCACGATTTCCCTCTTACTTCATGAAACACACACACACACACACACACACACACACACACACACACACACACACACGGGGCGGGTACACAAATTCTCATTTCCTGCTATACTCTCTACTCTGGAGTCAAACAACTAGCAGGAATCTCTATGATCAGAAGTTCTCTGAAGAAGCCATATCTGTGTTGACTATTCTACAGACTGACTCACCACAGACATTCGAGGTTGTAAAGAGATGGATTGCCACAGATCTAGAAACCCAACAATATCTTGGGTTGTTGTTGACACCTTTCATGGTCATGTATCATCAGACACTGTTTCTGAGCTTTATGATAGCCAGATAAATAAGTTTTGGAATGTGTAGTCCTAACAGGCCATGGGCTTCCAATCCTAACACTAAAGATGCAACAGCTTCAAAACCCTATAATCCATTTGATGTCCCCTCAACGTATTTGACAAATACATTGATTTGTGACTTTCTTTGGGCCTGTGACTACAAAAGTTGAGCTGAGTTCTTCCACGGAGAAACATACAATTCATGGAAACCTTAATCTGTGTTTCCAGACCATGGGCACTCGTTTGGCTTTGAAAAAGCTCTCATTTTTCCTTTGAAGCAACAGCCATGTTCTGTATTGACACTGATATTATTTCTCAACATGTCCCCACACCCAGAAACTTTAAGTAAATGTTATGTCTAGTAAACCCAAGGGTGCAGTGCCTTTAAAAACAATATAACCAATATAAATCTTACACTTCTGGGGATCTTTCAACTTTTTCAACATTTACCACAGAATTCTCTACACTATGACCCCAAGAACTGTTGCTAAGAGGCACCTTCCCACTGAGCCCTCATTTTTCAACCAGGTGAAAGACCAATGCCACCCGTACGGAGTTACTCATCCCTTAACCCATCCTGTAAGGGCAACACTGTTATTCTAGGTCTGCCCGGACTGAGGTTAAGTCAGTTCGCGTTTAAACCCCACCTTATCTAATTCCCACTAGGCAGGCGCTCCTAACCCTTCCATAGCTGGAAGGCAATACGAAAGGACAGTGTGTGTTAGCCTTGCCAGTGGAGCAACCACAACGGTAATGTCAACAAGGACTCCACCGAGGACGCCCGGGGACGGTGGCCCACACCGCCCTAGCCAGGCCCGAAAATGCTGGCGTCATGAAGCGGAAGGGAGTCCCGGGCGGAAACGCAGGCCGCGGGGCGCCGGGACCCACCTCTCGCCGCCGCGCCTCACCTGCTCCACGCACGCGCAGACACGCTCAGCGGCCGCCCCCGTCCCGCCTCTGCGAGCACGCAGGGGCTTGGGGTCCACTGAGGGAAGGCAGTTCCCGCGCGGACCCCACAGGCCAGCAGCCGGCGGCGATCCAGGCCACGGAAAGCGACGGAGGCACAGACGGCGCGCAGGAGTCGGGCGCCCGGAGCGGTCGCCATAGCTCGGTTGGAAGGTTCCGGCTCCTGCGGTGTCCTGCTCAGTCCGGAGGGTCCCGTGCGTCCCTCGCGTCCGGGTTCGAGCCGACTACAATCCCGCGAGCGCCCTGCGTGTCCTATAACCCGCGACCGCGCTCCGCCCCGCCCCGGCCCGCCGCTGCCACGCCTCCGCGGGGAGGGGCGGGGCCGAGCACCGCTCCCTGGAACCCTTTCTGGAGTTCACCTTTAACCTCTTCTACAGTCAGATCTGCATTCTGGAGCAATTACTTGTCAAACACTGTCCAAAAAGCTGCCTGGTTAACTGAACCGCCTTTGTCCTACTCCCTCAAAACCAAGCAAAATATCGCAGTTTCCATCACCTTTAGAGTTTAAGTTAGAGCAAAGGGGATCTAGGTTTTTCCTACCTAAGACAGCAGAGGTTTTTTACAAAGTTTTAGAATGCCAATCGGCATTTTTTTTATAAAGAGAGGCATAGATAAAATCGTAATATCATAATGAATAATTCGTTACTAAGGGGTGCTGAAATAATGCCTCAGCCTGGACTGACAGTGTGTAAAACCCTGAAACTTAACAGGAAAGGTGTTTTTTTTTTTTTTTTTTTTTCTTTTGATAATTAATGACTGGTAAGTTGTGAAAGAGTCTTTGAGGTCAGACATTCAAACCCAAGTCCTATGCTGATCAGAGAGACCTTGGGTAAATTATTCTCGGGGATAACAGTTTCCATAACTCACAGATAAGTTCGCATTCAGGGCCATTGTGGAGGCTAGGTGAATAAGAGCAAAGAAGTGCGTCATAAACCATGAGTGCATCGTCTTGAGCATTCCTGATAAGCTGCTGAAGGTCAGAAGCAAGCTGAACATACTTGAATATTCAAGCTGGGGTTGGAAACATAGCTAAGAGGTTAAGAATACTTGTTACTTGTGCTCTTGCAGAGAAACTGGGAGAGCAGCTCACAACTGTCTGGCACTCTAGTTCTAAGAGATCCAAAGCCCTCTTCCAGCCACGTCTGGCCCCAGGCATGCACATGGTGCACGTACATACATTTAGGCACATACATTTAGGAGAAGGAGTATTACTCAAGAGGCTGAAGATGTGGCTCAGCAGTTAAGAGCACTTAGTAGTGGGTTACTATCTGCAGTTAACTCACTGTGGAGCAGCACACCAGACCTGACTTGAACATCACAATATGCATACTGTGTACACATGTGTGTGCATATATACATACATAAAAACATCACATGAAATCCCATTAGTACTTAATGGTTTTGTGTGTTTGTCAAAATTATAAAGAACAGAAGTTGGAGAGATGACTCAGCAGTCAAGAATGAATGCTGCTCTTACAGTGGACCTGAGTTTGGTTCCTAGCATCCATGTTGGGTAGCTCACAACAGCTTCTATTACCAGTTCTAAAGGATCAGATGCCCTCTTTTGGCCTCTGTGGGCATCTGTACACACACAACACACACACACACACACACACACAGAGAGAGAGAGAGAGAGAGAGAGAGAGAGAGAGAGAGATACACATAAATTTTAAAAACAACAACAAAAACAGAAATCTATTGTCTCACAGGTTTGGAGACTGGGATGTCCAAAATCAAGATGGCAGCAGGTTCAATGTGCTGTAAGAGACCGGTCTCTACTTCCAAGATGGCACTTTCTTGCTGTGTCTTTCCATGAAGGAAATGGGTTAAAGCAAAAGGGCCTACTTAGTTCTATTAGCCTTTTTATGGAGGCATCAATACCATCCACAAGGGTCATGCCCCTATCCTATTTCCTGACCAGTCTTGGGTTGGCAATTAAACTCCCACATAGATCTTGGAAGGAACACATTCAAATTACAGCACTTTCCTCTGTCCCATCTTTTCCATTAAGTCAACCCTATTCTTCCCAACAGACCACCTCATCTTGCATACTTGCACAGAGAATACATTTGATGATGCCTTTGTTAGTAACTGTGCTAGGAACTTCCATAGTTTTTGGCTCACTCATGAGCAACTGTGTATGCCAAAGACCTTCTAGTTAGCAAAACAACCCTAGCTCTCTAAGGCCCACTGTAATAGCAGGTGTTCTTGGTCCCAAGTCCAGGGCACAAATAAAAGAAACTACAATTTTATTAGTCTTATAGTTTTGATCTTATAAACACAAAATTCTACACAAGGTCAGGAAGTAGCATTACCTAAGCACAAAAAGTGTGTGTGGGGTGTGTATGTGTGTATGTGTGTGTGTGTGATGCTGGAGTCTAAACTTCAGCCTCTGAATGCTAAGTCAAATGCTCTTGCTAAATAAGTTTCATTACAAAAAAAAAAAAAAAAAAAAAAAAAAAAAACTACCTTGACACCCCAAGGTGATTTAAAAAACAAATAGCTGATAATATTGATGAGTGAATTTCCTACATCAAATAATATGTAACTTGCATTTAGATAAATGCCTTGGTGCCAACCATCCTGTGTTGCTTCCAATGCTTGTTCATCCCTGATGTTTCTTTTTTCTTCTGTTTTTGATACTATATTTACATTATTTTTCCCTTTCCTCCTTCCAATCCCTCCTGTATGCCCCTCCTTGCTTTTCTTCAATATTTATATACAGAATTCTTTATTAATTCCTTAGAAATTACACATCACACACCCCAATCCCACTCACCTCCCAGTCCCTTTATATCAGCCACTCACCCTTGCATTATCCCCCCACAGAAGAAATCCTCCTAAAAATTAATTAAAAACAAAAAGGAACCACCTTGCTTCTCTGTCTTTCCCACCTCTCTGACACCTCTTTATTCTTCCTAGTGGCATTGGAAGCTGCGGTGTGTCACACAGTATACCCTTTTGTCCAGTTATCCCACAAATGTTCATTGCAATGAGACATTGGTCTGGTTCAAGGCTTCTGGTCTCTGGCGCATCACCATCCCTAGATTCTCACTGAAAATCCTTTTGGATATCCTGCTGTTGAGTCATGGGAATCATGCCGCTATTACTCCACAAGACCAGTCCCTTCATGTACTTCAGCAGATCATAGATGGGGTAGATGTTAAGGTGAGCCAACCCAAGGCCCAGGAATATGGGTCTGGGTGGCAGCTGAACTGGTCAGTCTGGGCATCTAGGACCACCCTCCTTCGGCAAGGGGCAGGGCCAGCTCTCTCACTCCCATGTTGAGGGGTGTGGCCATTTCTTCCAAGTGGTGGAAGGGGCAAGCAGCTCTCCCATGAGGGGCAGAGCAGTTCTCCTGCTTCAGTGTCCAACAAGGGGCAGGGCCAGCTATCCCGGGGCCAGTGAAGGGCAGGACTGGCTCAGGACAGCCTTCCAGTTTCAACACACAGAGTTCCTATTCCCCCCTGTGGTAATACAGGCCATGGGCATCATCACAGATGCCAGCTGCAACAGGACCACCGACCCAGACATGGCCCTCAATACCCTTCTTACTCTTTCAAATTCACAACCCCTTTCTTTTTTACTGTTGCTATATGTATATGCATATATTTCTATATTATTAAATATAACTTGCTCAGTATGAGTAATGATACTCATATGTATGCTATCATGATTAATCATTTAGTATTAGATAATCAATCGGTATGGTCTTCCATGGAAAAGTTTTTCTCCCATTCTCAGAATTCCTCAGTTGCTTGTTTTTTGTGTTGGATATGCTTTCTCCTCTCCATGTTACCATATCTATTGTTGCTGTCTTTGTTCAGCATATGTTAGGGCAGTCATGTTGGTGAGATGTATAAATGTAGTTTCTGACATTAGTAGGAGACACATTCTCACAGCAAATTCCGTGTTCCTCTGGCTCTTAGAATCTTCCCACCCCCTCTCTCATAATGTTCCAAAAGCCTTAGGTGTGGTTTGTCTATAATGGTCTCATTTGTCTCTCCATCTCGCTAGTGCTGGGATAACATCACCTTCATGTGAACTATGTTTCTCTTTCAGACTGTATCGATTTGGTGTAGCTCTGGGTGATCTTGAACTCACAGAGATTTATCTGCCTCCATCTCCTGAGTACTGAGATTAAAGACATGAGGCACCACTGCCTGTCCTCTATTGGCTAACTAATGTAAGTAGCTTTGCGCTCTTATCTTCAGGCAAGCTTTATCTGTTAGATCATAAACAAAATATTATCACATTTCTCCTTTTCTGTCTAATTCAAAAAAGAAGGTTATAACTAATATAAGAAAAACTACATTAAGTACAATAACTATATACAATATACACAGAAAATAAATATATTAACAATGTCTAGTTCATTTGTGTTTGACAAGTTCAGAGAAAATACTCCATATGTATCCTATCTTGTTGAGTGCAAACGGTTGTACCTAATTGAGTTTCTATTCTAATTTGCATTATCAAATTATCTTTTAATGTCTCTCAACCTTTTACACTTTACTCCTCTTTAGTGAGTTTCTTTTCTGAGTCTGGTAAACACGGAAAACTATAACATGGTAAACACATCTAGTGAGTCATCTGTTATTTATTAAAGTATCAGATATTATTTAGTTGCAAGGCTTTTACTTGAAAAATGATCTAAAGAACCTAGTTCTTTAAGATCAACTAAAATTTGATGAGCATTTCTACTTCCCAAGTCTTATTTGTTTGTTTGTTTGTTTGTTTTGAGATAGCTTATCATTTTGAAGCCCAAGCTGACTTCAAACTTATAGAAATCCTCTTGCCTTCTCTTCAATGCTAAGATTACAGGCATTAGACACACATTGGTCTTCAATTTCTTACCTCTTAAGTGTTTTCATACAAGTTAAAAATCACTCAGTGTATATATCTTAAATCTCATTACTTTTTTAAAAACCTAACATTTTTAGTACATTGTGTTGGTAACAGACTGCTAGCTGCTATGCAAAATGTCCAATTTCTTCTGAGAACAATATGAATTTTTATGTATGTGTAGTATTGTATATGTGTAGTATATGTACACATTTGCAGTTGTACATACAGAGGACCAAAGTCAGGTATCTTTTCCTGGATTCCTTTCTACTTTATTTGTTTATTATTGAGACATTGTACATATGTTTCTACTCTTGTTTAAGGTATTGTACCTATGCAGCTCATTTAACAATGTAATATAAATCTCTAGTCCTTGAAAGCTAGTATTACAAACTATTTAGGATAATA